GAAGGAGGCAAAAATATATGTATGCACGAAGGGTTAAGACAACTGCAAACACTACCTTTGCACGATATAGCTGGCTTGGATACAGTCTATGTACAACAGCATGGCTAATCTACCCTGCTTACAAATTGCTCAAATATCTCTACATTGAACTGCAATGAGAAGTTCATACATGCCCAGTAAAGTCAGGAATTACTTCACAGCCCCGTTAGGTTGGTGCGGGAGGAGCAGGAGGATCTCAGGGTGTTTTATGGCTCCTCAGAGTCATTAGCTGACTCTCAAATGCAAGAAGCTATTCCAGTGCTGGTTTCACTCCTGCCATGGTGCTGCAGGCAAAATCCATCTTGGAAGGCAGTACCACTCTTATTCGTAATAATGTGTGAGCCGAAAAGGACCCAGGATGAGGCTGGGTTTGTTAGGCAAGCAATTAAAAAATACCATCTTCCTCATCAAAGCAGCAGACCATTTATGGAAATAATTGACACACGAGATCTGCAGCATCACACTGGTTACATCTACGCTTGCAGAAGAGACGTGTGTGGCTGGTCACGCAGAGACTGCAAAACTGCCAGACAAGACATTTCTGTTAATGAAACACAATTACGTGAATTATTATTGTTCCTGGATGAATTTTTAGCAAGAGTTTCATGCCCTTTTCAAACAGTATTCAAAAGGAAAAACACACACCTGTGTTGTTTACCCAGCCACTTACACATAGCTCTACCTAAGAAGGGAAACACTAGTGGATGCTCATTACCCCTTTTCTGTAATAAGTCCAATTATAAACATATTGTTCCATTAAGGAAAGATTTAATCATGCCTCAGAGATCTCATTAAATGCAGAGTTGGATTCCAAATTCCTATTGAGATTTAGAAAGAAAACCACCGAGAACAGCAAACACTGGACTGTCACTTGCTGTGCATGTTTCATGTCTCAATCTGGCTTTACAGTGCAGGCAAAACCCAGGAGGAAAAAAAAAAAAAAAGATGGTTTTCATCCAAAGCAAGTGGTCCTGGAGTGTAAATTAGATTGAAGAAAGAAGAGATAATAAAGGAGTTGGGTGGATGGTACAATGGCATTGCTCGGTTTTATTTGCATCGGAGTAAAACACAATGGTGGTTTTGCCTTGATCCCTTTGAGACAACAGTCTGGGTTTGTACATATTTTTAGCTTTCCCGTCTTAAAAAAAAAAAAAAAAAAAAGGACGTTTTAAAGCTTTAGAAAAAGTCCAGTTCAGAGGTCAAAAAGCACTGGGTCCTTTTGTGTTCTTTTGTTTTTCCAAAATCTGCCACAAAGAGCAAAGGCTTTCCATTACAGAAACAAAGAAGAGTTTAGTAAAAACCTGGTTCTCCACCGCACAGTAATTCCAAGTTTATTTTTCCATTAATTCAACCAACCTGGAAAATTGTCTCAAAAGACAAAGATCTGGGCTATGATCCTGGGCGTCAGGGGCACGTGCCATCTCTGCACAGATATCGTGTTAGCCAAGACAGCTCACTGAGGGCCAGAACCTGCCACTGTTTCCCAAAATGAGTGATACTGCACCAGTCTCACTGGAAGCCGGTGTGGTCATGGACTGACGAGGATGCTTCACAGGGCAAGATGAAATATCAGAAAGTCTTTTTTTTTTTCCTTTTGCATACGAATTAATGGATGATCTCCTACAGAAATAAATTTAGGGAAGTTCCTCTGCCTTCAACAGCTTGAGGGGCCCTGCCGGATAGTCCCTGCACTGTTTGTCTTGCTGCTGGTGAGGAAGAGGAGAGGTGTGACCCCCCGTGCACCCCGTCGCTGTACGGCTGCTGTCACGGCACATCTGAGCACTGAAGCAGCAGAACAGGGCCAAGGGAGTTTGTCGATTGCTGGGAAAGCGGCTGCAGGCTGGATTGGCTCCAGCCGGGAGGGCTGGACAGGAGCAGAGAGCTTTCTATCTATATCAGCCTGAATAATTAATCTCAAGTTTTTAGCAGAAGCTCTCCCTCCCCCGCTCAGCTTCCCCTTTGTTTAGCAGCGTTGCTGTTTGCGACTCGGCACCACACAACAGGCTTCTTCCTCCGTATCCCCGAGCTCTGCAGCGGCTCGAACCAGGTGTGTAAGATGGTCCCCAATTCCCTCCTTGCTTTTTGGATGCTCTTTTCTCTATTCCTGTAGCTAGACTTGAGGGCATTGCTCTACAAACAGATCCCACCTGCTTTTTTCGGTTGGGATTTCAACCTTTCAGGCATTTGCTTGTGATGAAAAAAATTGCAGCTCTGTCCAAACCTCACCCACATTTTAAGATACCTTGAACCAGTGTGTTTGATCCAGGTTGTGACTGTCCAAGGATACCAAAATCCTCCGTCTGCAAGTAGAAATCGAGGGAGAGAGAGGGTTTGAAGTTTCAGCCAGTCACTGCACAAAGGGGCTGCAGATGTAGGGGCTTGGCTCATTTTCAGGTGGAGGTGTAATTTTGTGATTCAAACACCCAGTCTCCATCACAATGATTATTCAAACAAGGAGATATGTCACTTGTGCAGCTCTGAACACTTCAGTTTTGCCTCTTTGTGTAAGCTAATGCAGGCTACAGAACCTGCAGACATTGCCTGGAGGAAGGACGTTGCTGTTGATAAGGTACCTGTGGACTTGGCCCCAGATGTGGAGTTTAAGTGTCACAGTCCACACGTCCTCCTCACTGAGAGCAGGGGAGGAACAGCACTTCTTGATGGCATAGCCAGGCATGTTTCCCAAAATGAGTGATACTGCACCAGTCTCACTGGAAGCCGGTGTGGTCATGGACTGACGAGGATGCTTCACAGGGCAAGATGAAATATCAGAAAGTTTTTTTTTTCCTTTTGCATACGAATTAATGGATGATCTCCTACAGAAATAAATTTAGGGAAGTTCCTCTGCCTTCAACAGCTTGAGGGGCCCTGCCGGATAGTCCCTGCACTGTTTGTCTTGCTGCTGGTGAGGAAGAGGAGAGGTGTGACCCCCCGTGCACCCCGTCGCTGTACGGCTGCTGTCACGGCACATCTGAGCACTGAAGCAGCAGAACAGGGCCAAGGGAGTTTGTCGATTGCTGGGAAAGCGGCTGCAGGCTGGATTGGCTCCAGCCGGGAGGGCTGGACAGGAGCAGAGAGCTTTCTATCTATATCAGCCTGAATAATTAATCTCAAGTTTTTAGCAGAAGCTCTCCCTCCCCTGCTCAGCTTCCCCTTTGTTTAGCAGCGTTGCTGTTTGCGACTCGGCACCACACAACAGGCTTCTTCCTCCGTATCCCCGAGCTCTGCAGCGGCTCGAACCAGGTGTGTAAGATGGTCCCCAATTCCCTCCTTGCTTTTTGGATGCTCTTTTCTCTATTCCTGTAGCTAGACTTGAGGGCATTGCTCTACAAACAGATCCCACCTGCTTTTTTCGGTTGGGATTTCAACCTTTCAGGCATTTGCTTGTGATGAAAAAAATTGCAGCTCTGTCCAAACCTCACCCACATTTTAAGATACCTTGAACCAGTGTGTTTGATCCAGGTTGTGACTGTCCAAGGATACCAAAATCCTCCGTCTGCAAGTAGAAATCGAGGGAGAGAGAGGGTTTGAAGTTTCAGCCAGTCACTGCACAAAGGGGCTGCAGATGTAGGGGCTTGGCTCATTTTCAGGTGGAGGTGTAATTTTGTGATTCAAACACCCAGTCTCCATCACAATGATTATTCAAACAAGGAGATATGTCACTTGTGCAGCTCTGAACACTTCAGTTTTGCCTCTTTGTGTAAGCTAATGCAGGCTACAGAACCTGCAGACATTGCCTGGAGGAAGGACGTTGCTGTTGATAAGGTACCTGTGGACTTGGCCCCAGATGTGGAGTTTAAGTGTCACAGTCCACACGTCCTCCTCACTGAGAGCAGGGGAGGAACAGCACTTCTTGATGGCATAGCCAGGCAGGGCATTAATTACCTGCTGCACTAATTGAATCTGTTAATGAGCTAATTTCTTTCCGTGGCCTCCACACACCGGGGCAAGTGGCAGGTTCAATGTTTAATGTGTAGTAGCAGAGACGTGGGTGTGAGGAAGGAGCGGAGCTGCGGCTGGTGATGCTGAGGCAGGTGGAGGACAGGGCTGTCTCCAGGGCTAGGGATCCCATTCCCAGAGTTTCTCAGTCTCCCTCCTTTCTCCAACACTATTACAGCTCGAGTATGGCATTCCTTGGTGGTCTTTCTTCCCCCAAATCCCCAGTGTACTTGCCTCTCCTGTTGCCTTTTTTTATCTCCTTCACTTGTATCCCAGTCCCCATGACGAGCTGGAAGCAGCTGGTGTCACGGGTGCATGGCACGGTGCTGTGGGAAATCAGTGCACTGATCAGCTGAGAAAAGCAGATCCAGACCAAAAAAATGCTGTTTATGCAATAGCTTTTTCACTGGCTGGAAAATGGCTTTCTGATATAAAATCCTGCGTTGTTACCTATTTATCTTATACCAGCACACAGACCCCAGCTGAAAGTCCCTGTAAGAAGACACCATAAAAGACAGCTCTCTTCCTGACTGGGAAATCAAGAGATATTAACTTTCATCATTCCTATTAATAGGATGTTCTTGCTGTTTTTCATGTAAGAGACTGAATGATTACCCAACGCTGTTTCATTTATAGCAGCTGTCACAATTAATTCTGCAGAGCCCACAGCCACGCTACCTGATAGTGGTTCCTCCCACCTCTCTAAACCAAACTCAACCCTTTCCAAGGCATTTATGGGACACCTTTGAGGAAAACTTGTGTACATTCACCTCAAGGACCTGACTTATGCAAGGTGAGGGCTGACATTTGCATGCAAATCCAGTGCTTGCATAAGCCAACAGAGTTCAAAACCCACTAGATAGAGTGGATGGATCCAGTGTTTGCACATGATGTGCCTCTTGCATCTCTCAGGTGCCTCGAGTGCACTTTTGGAAGCCAGGCACTAAATATCCTATTTCTTTAACAGAGTTGAGATGTCCCAGAGAAGCCTTAGTCTTTTTTTATCTTCTCTCTCTCCCCAGTGCTGACGGTGACTTTGCAGTAACCCACCTGACCAAGGCCCACCTCTTCTATGACGGGAGAATTAAATGGATGCCACCTGCTATCTATAAAAGCTCCTGCAGCATTGATGTTACCTTCTTCCCCTTTGACCAGCAAAACTGCACAATGAAGTTTGGCTCCTGGACCTATGACAAAGCCAAGATAGACTTGGTGAGCATGCACAGTCATGTGGACCAGCTGGACTACTGGGAGAGCGGGGAATGGGTCATCATCAACGCTGTGGGCAATTACAACAGCAAGAAATATGAATGCTGCACAGAGATCTACCCCGATATAACTTACTCCTTCATTATCCGGAGGCTGCCACTGTTCTACACAATCAATCTGATCATCCCCTGCCTGCTGATCTCCTGCCTGACTGTCCTGGTCTTCTACCTGCCCTCCGAGTGTGGAGAGAAGATAACCCTGTGCATCTCCGTGCTGTTGTCCCTCACTGTGTTCCTGCTGCTCATCACAGAGATCATCCCATCTACCTCCTTGGTCATCCCTCTGATTGGAGAATATCTTCTCTTCACCATGATATTTGTTACCTTGTCTATCATCATCACTGTCTTTGTGCTCAACGTGCACCATCGTTCCCCGCGTACCCACACGATGCCTGACTGGGTGAGGAGGATCTTCCTTGACATAGTCCCACGCCTCCTCTTCATGAAACGTCCCTCCACAGTGAAAGACAATTGCAAGAAGCTCATTGAATCCGTGCACAAAATAAGCAATACACCAAGGCTTTGGTCCGAGATCGACGTGGAACCCAACTTCACTACCTCATCTTCCCCCAGCCCCCAGAGTAATGAGCCATCACCCACATCTTCCTTCTGTGCCCACCTCGAGGAGCCAGCCAAGCCTCAGCCTATCTGCAAGTCCCCTTCTGGGCAGTACTCTGTGCTGCACCCAGAGCCTGTACAGGTGACCTGCTCCTCTCCACAACCCTCATGCCACCCCCTGAGTGACACCCAGACCACCTCCATCTCGAAAGGCAGATCACTAAGTGTTCAGCAGATGTACAGCCCCAATAAGGCAGAGGAAGGGAGTATCCGCTGCAGGTCCCGGAGCATCCAGTATTGCTACCTGCAAGAGGACTCTTCCCAGACCAATGGCCAATCCACCGGCTCTCCAGCATCCCAGAGGTGCCACCTAAATGAAGAGCAGCCCCAGCACAAGCCTCCTCAATGCAAGTGTAAATGCAAAAAGAGCGAGGCAGCTGGCACTTCAGCTCAAGGAAGCAAGACTCACAGCGCCAAAGAGCAACATCTTGTGTTGATGTCCCCAGCCCTGAAGCTGGCAGTGGAAGGGGTTCACTACATCGCAGACCACCTGCGAGCAGAAGACGCGGATTTCTCAGTAAGTATGCTAACTTAGCCTGCTCTCCTTGGGTAAGTCAAAAATTATCTGCTAAGGAAGCCCCACCAGACCTGGGGGCTATACAGAGAATATACTTGCTGATGCAGGCTTGGCCATCCCTGATATTGAGGCTTTTGAACACATTGGCCACTATAGGCACAGCTGGAGAGTTTGTCCTTGGGGTCTTGGCAGGCATGTGGGCCAAGGGGGTAGCACAACCAGACCATGCTCAGGGCTGCTCTAGAACAATAGGATTCTCCAGCAGAAAATAGGAGTAAAGTTGTTGTTAGCTAGGAAGGAAGCAGCTAAGATTGTGAAAGAGACCCAAAAAGCAGTCATCTGGTGGGAACACAGCAGACTTATTATTTATAGAGTCTCTGACAGACGGGGAATTCACACTCTCTGTTTTTTATTAAGCATTGACTCTGGCTGCTGAGCCTAGGAAAGCAAATTCCGAAAATAGGTTGTGGATGTGGGAAGCGCGTAGTAGCGTGGGGACATTGCAGGGTATGTTTAGCTCTGCGTGATGCAATTCCTCATTAGTGGACTTCCATTGGAGCAGTTGGCTCTGTGCAGGAAGGTGGGTGGACAGACAAATTTCACACTTACTCTGAAGGGGTAAATATGGCTACAAATAGAAAAGGAAAATAGAGGCTGAAAGAATTTCTTTTAATGGAGATGGTGATGCACGTACAAATGCCGCATCCTTTCACACCTCTTGTAGCTCTTCCCCTGCAATACTATGGATACGGTGTGGTAGCTAACTATGGTCATAATGCAGGAAGCCACAAGATAACCTGAAGTTAGTGTTCTTGCTAAAGAAAAGTCTTATCTAGCTTTTCCTAGAGGGATCCATCAGCAAAAGGTACTTTTTCAGCTGTGCTTACAGTTTGATTTTCTCAAGATTTAGAGTCAGTGCAAGTCATAGTGCTTTTCTGCAAGACTTCCTGGGCGTGAAGAGTGTCTTTATATTTGCATTTTTCACAGCACTGAGCACTTAGCAGCAGCAACAAGGGATTAAGTGCTACTGTCTATTTATATACTCTTTGGTACCATAGTTTGAGAGGCCTCTGTTCTTTAATGTATTTCACTTCACAACATCCCTTTGAGGAAGTAACTGTTTATTCCTCACGTTGAGGAGTGACAGCCAAACTACAGAGATGAGGTGACCTGTTCAATGTCACAGAACAAATCTGTGGCAGAGATGGGCTATGAATCCCCATCTTCATTAGTTGACAGCCCAGCACTCTTTGCTGGGCTAAAGCACTTCGCAAGCACATTAGGACCGTGTGAACTAAACTCTGCTCCCTCCTCCTAGCAATAATCACAAGTAAACCCATGGAAGTCAGTCGATTTTAACTCGTTTCCCCCCGGTGCAAATGAAAGAATATTATACCAATAATACTTCCCATTTCAACTGATTCTCTTTCTGCTAAGCTTGTTGATATCATCAAGAACTGAGTTGATGAATATCTTGGGTTCTTTCCTTTTAAACTGTGATTGCAACTTTCTTTAAAATGAAAACAGTCTTCAGAAGCCACGAATTTTCTTCTTATACTTCCCACTACTCTTCCCTCTTGAAATGAAGTGATTATCCTGAGAAAGCTATTTACAGCACTAAACATCAAAAGCAGAAGAAAAGGAGCAGTTTTGAGGGCTCTGACCAGACCTCCTGCCAGCCCAGGCTGCGAGCAAAGGTGCCAGGAGAACATCCAGCAATGAGCGGAGAAGGGTCACCCCCAGGACCACCGATGCACCAGGCTCCCCAGGAAGAGCCTGCAAACCTGCCTGCAGTTTTCTGCTCTTTCACAGCAGCTGTGGTTGGCACGGTAGGCAGAGGTTGGGTTTTCAGATTTGGGGGAACAATTGCTGAGCCTGGTCTGAGGCTACACTATTTTCTTTTTCTGGATCCAAGTAAGGTCAAGTAGGAAAGCACACTTTTTCTCCAGGTGGAAATGACAAAGAAGAAGGAAACATGATCTTCTGGAATTGAAATTTACTGTAAGGAGCAGAACTGATCTAATAATAAATGAGATCTAATGAAATGAGAATTTATTGGAGAAAAAATCAGTACTCAGAAATTTGCTTTCATCTTAAAATCAAATTGTGGCATTTCTTCATGGAAGTCTTCAACAAATCTGTCAGCAGGCACCTCTGATGCAGCTGCAGCCCCTGAGACACAGCTCGCTGTCTCTTGGGTAGTATTTTCAGAGACATGCACCTTCCCAGAACGAGAACAGAGCTTCTTTTGAAGTTCCTGTCTTTTTTCTAAAGCACCATTGCCACAGGGGCAGTGCTTCTAAATTAGAAGTAAATAGCTCGTTTAATTAAGTGCTTCAGCAAAGAGAAAATGGGAAATGCAAGAGGCAGTTGTTTGTTACAAAAAGATATCTGCAAACAATACGAGCACAACGGTACACTGGGGAAAATACAAGACTGAATTGTCCCAGCACACGATAGAAATGCCATTAGAAATTAATTACAGACTGAGAAGCAAAACAAGTTGCATGTCACACACGAGCCAAAATAACCAGACACCAATAGTACCATCCGGAAAGCCTTGTTGTCCTCATGCCTGTGTGCATCTCCAGACTACTCTAATAAGATGACTTTGAAGACAGCTTAAAAATAAAATGGGAGAGAAGGTAGCTGAGGGGCAGAAAACACGGGATAATCTCACCGGTTTATTTTTGGCAAAGTACAATAAAACCACCCGTGACTGCTGTAATCTGTGTTACAGGCTCTGGGTCCTGGGGATCAGATGTCACCAAGGCACCTCAACCCTCCACTCAAATCCTGGGGCAGGATGCCCTGTTCCAACTGCTCAGACCTGCAAGGAGCTGGACCAGGGAAGAGCTGCAGATTCCCTTACTTTTTGGGAATTTGGGGGTGGGGGAGTCAGCTGGTTCCTGCCCCTGATTCTTTCCCAAAAATACTTTTGATTGAGCTTCTTAAAAACTAATCAAAATACAGCTCAGGAGTTGGGGTGGCAGATGTTGACAGCTGCACAGATGTTGTCAGAGATGCCTCTGCGGATCATGCTCCACGTGAGGTGCTGGACCACAGGGAAATGCCACAGTGCTGTCAGAAAAGAAAACAAAACAAAACAAAAAAATCCAGATAATTTTCTTTTCTTCCTACTCTTTTTTTTTTCATTGTCTCTCCATAATTTCCAATTGCACCCTTCCGTGCTCTCGGTCTGAAGTTGAATATTGATTTTTGCAAACATCTGATGCACTCCCAGCCATCATTTTCAAGATGGGCTGAGTATTTATGCATACACCATTACATCTGAAAGCAAATTTCTGTTGAACTTTTCAAGTTGTTCCTCTTCTCCCATTTCCCCCTTCTTTTCTCAAAAAGAAACTCATCTAGTTCATTTCTTTTCTTCGTGTGATCTAGCACTTACTTTTACTGGCATGAATACTCAAAACAGCTTATTTTGCCAGAATGGGGCACTATTTACTCAATCCAGCTCTCCAGTTGGACATCAGATGGCAAATTTCAGATTTTCTTTGCACATTGGTTGCACCATGAGACACTAATCCCATAAACACAATCATCCAGAGCTTGCTTAGCTGGCCTTCTCACCAGGAAGCATCAGAGATTCACTCCAACTCTGAGCAAGTGATGAATAGATGAGAAAACACATAGCAAAGGGGAGTTATCCACCGAGACCTTATCCTTGGGATGAGAGAATTCCTTTTGATTTCAAAGGTCACTATTTCTTTTACTCTCCCTAATTATAGATGGATGTGCTAAGGGCTGTACAGTCATAAAACAACATGGTTTCCCCCAAGAAGATAACAAGCTTCAGGATGAACCTCAGTTGTTTACCTCTGCCTATTGAATAGTAAAGACCTGCTTAACTTGGTGCTGTTTTTAAAAGGAATAAAATTATCCATTGCACAAAAATATTTAACTGATTCTTACACTATTGAAAATGGTCAGGTATTCCTGAAATTTAAGATGCTTTGTTCAGAGAACAAATTATGGGAAAATATGATATGCTCTCCAGTGCGTGTCTCATTTCCCAATTTACAAAGCTGCTTACTGAGCCAAGGAGCTGGAGCAATACCAGATGATTTAAAGGCCTAACCAAGCAGTCCACATGGCAAATAATGAGAGGTGTAGTTAAAGAGCTCATTTGCTGGTGTTGCTTCAGCTGAACGTTGTCTGCGTTGAGGCACAGAGTGACGACAGGTACTTTGCAAATACATTGGAAGGTTCATGACCAGTTTGTGAAGGGTTCAGCACGCCAAAATGAGGTAAATGCACATACCTTACCTGCAAGGAATTATTCTCTTAGCGCAATAAAATGTCACAACATTGGTCACAGAAGCCAGGATTGTATATTCTCTCCCTCTGACACATCATGATTTCTCTGTACCACCCACAAGGTATAAGATAAAATTTAGTGGTGCATCCGTGACTGATAAAGAAAGAGAAGACTCAAGGTGAGTTTTCAGAGCCACTGTGTTGTGCTCAGAGCTTGTTTGTTTGGTGCTTGACAGATCGTAATATTTTAGGACCTGAAGTTGGTGCTGTACCTGTGAAAACATTATCTGCTGCAAATGGCTATTTCACTGATACTTGGATTGCTTCCCTTACCAAAATTAATTTTCAGCACAATCAGCAAATCCTTAAAAAAAAAAAATCAAGCCAGGTCTCACACAAATCGTGTTTTAGCTCACACCTACTGTTCTGGGCTACTCCCTTATCTGTTTAAAACAAATGTAGGACCAAGTGGATGAAAAGGCCTGTACCACTAGTGTTACATTATTATTGTCCTGTGCTTTTCACGCATGCTACAGCCCAATGTACATGGCAGCTTTGGGCACGGTGAAGCCACTGTTTGCTCAGGGTCGCAGGCTGGTGGGTACAGTAAAGCAGCTCCAGCAAAGCGCAGCCTTGGCTTTGCTGCCTCCTTCTCCTTACACCACTCTCCTGACTTGCTGCAAGCACGGCCACTGAAGAGGATTGAGCTAGCTCCCACTGAGATGTTTTCCCTAACGAGCGAGGCAGCGTGCCAAATTTCAGCCCTTGGGTCTATTAATCACCAGGTGGTATATTGTAGGAAATTATAATGGGTACAGCCATATAAAATAAAACTTTGCAATCCGATCAGTCCTCTTCCTGGGAAAGAAATTAATAACAGCAATGTAATGAAAGAGGTTTTCATATGTATGTGGTTTCTTACCTAATGAAATAGCCATTTACAATTATTGCCTGATGGTATTAATAAGTACTAGACGTCCCCAGAGAGGAATTGCTGGAAAATCCTCCCACAGCCAGACAATAGTGGGGAAAAAGCAGGGTGAGGAAGACCACTTCTTTTATTTGCTGGCTGATTTTCACTGCTTACTCACCCAAAGCTGTAAATCTCTTCACAGAAAGAGTTTGGCTTCATTAATCTGTAAGCAAATCTGCTTACGAACACGGGGAAACAAGTAATTTCTTTCCCCCCCACCCTCCCCAGTTTGAATCGCAGCCTCCTTTACACACCCAATTACAGCTGTTGCTCATGGAAAATGGGATAGTGAGTGTGCAGACGAGCTTAATCATCCACAGGCGTATGTCATCCCTGGGGAGCTGTGAACAGGGTTTGCAACTGCACATGCACACCCATGCAGTCTGGGAATCTGTCTCCCACATCAGCGACTGATAGAATAAATCTTTGCCATCACATAGGACCACTAAGTGTTAGTGAGACCTTCCCCTCCTGTCTCTGGACTTAAATTAAAATATCCTGTTTTGGAATAAAGCACTAATAATCTTCAGAAGTTTTAATCTCAAATAAATGTTAATAATCAGCCTTTCACCTCTGTGTTCCCAGGTGAAGGAAGACTGGAAGTACGTTGCAATGGTCATTGACAGGATCTTCCTCTGGATGTTCATCATTGTGTGTTTGCTGGGAACTGTTGGTCTCTTCCTCCCACCGTGGCTGGCAGGAATGATCTAAATATAGCCACATAAGGAAGAAAGTATATCCCACCCTATGGATTTTAGTTCACCTGGAAGGAGAGGAGCAAAGAAATGGAGGCAGCCCTTTGAATAATTTACTGTGTGTCCGCACTTGAGTTGCTCCAGAGCTCTCTGGGAATACTTTCCAAGGTCACATTGTTTTGCCAAGATATTTTCATCTCCTCCATCTAATTTAGGGGAGAAGTTCTTATTAAAGTTTGTACATAGCATGGTGGCATTCATTGGCATATACTCAGCAATGTAAGAACACGAGCTTGTTCCCTAAAGCAGCACATAAAGAGGCTTCACATCTACAAACCAGCCCCTGGCAAATTAGCTCCAGTTGTCTTCAGAGGTCTCAGCGTGCCCTGCCTAGTCATTTTGCCCTGTCAAGCTGAAGTGGTTCAGGACTGCGTGTCCCTGTATGAGTCATTTTATAAATAAAGTTCCAGATTTGGGATACCTGTGTAGGATGTGGTCTGTGGTCAGCTGGTAAAGATGGACAGACTGGAAAGGCTGAAGGAATTCCTCAAGGCAAATCAGCCCCTTTGGGACCAACACTGATCGTTAGCTCACCAAAACACAATAGCTACGGTCTTTATATTGACAGAGTTTACTTTGGCCAATACCCTTCGGAAACCATGGGGATTATAGCTGAGTGAGGATCATGCAAATGAAGGGGGGATTTGGGGTTAAGATTCAGATTGTGTTGGTAGCACTTTAGTGTGCTTTCAAGGGAAATTTCCTGGATCCCAGTTATGGCTGCTGCAAAATAACAGAGGGTCACTCTGAGCCGAAAAACCCTTGCTGTAGGTAGGGAAGCTACTTAGAGATGGGGAAGCCACAGCAGAAATCCAGGACGGTGCGTTAGTGTAATAAAGAAATGTGCCAGTACACGGGGAAACCTGAACAGGCCATACAGCCACACTTGGGAATTCAGAATGGCATTTTGCAGAAATTACAGCTTATATGGCCTTAAATTTGGCCAGTTGTTTCAGCAACTGTGCTCTTCCCAGCTCTATCCAAACTAAACCTACTTTTTTTGCACATCTTGTCCTTGCTTTGGGACCTGCAGCAAGAAGGCAGGGACAGGCACCACCGGCCAGAGGGAGGGGGGATGCTGGAGCCCTGTCCTACCGCAGGGAGACATCGGTGCATGATGGCACAGCTGAGCCAGATGTGAGTGAAAGGCTGGAAGACGGGGGTAAGCATGGGCTTCATTTATCTTCTACCTTTTCTCTGTATGCATTTGCAATCGCAGGAGCGACCACACTTGGACAGACCATAAGTCCGTCCAGCTCAGCATCCCCTCTGTTTGGTACTTACAAACCCACCGTTCCCATCCTCATTGCTGATTGCTGGGTGCCAGGTGGGATCAGCACAGCAGCACCCAGCCCAGTGTCTCCCTGCTTACTTCAGAGGTCTTATAGGCAGAAGGGCTTATAAACAGTTTACCACAGTGTGCGAGGAAAGGCAGATGTAGTCTAAAAATAAAGGCTTCCCCTGGGACCTGCCGTGACTGCATGTCTCAAAGCCCAGGCTGGCAGCTGAGGGGCTCTGGGCTTCACCCAGCATCTCCTCTGCACCCCGCAGCTGGGATCAGCACGCACAAGACTGTCTGGCCACCGTGAAGTTTGCTGCTAGGCAGCTCTGGCTAGCCCAGAGCTTTGGAGAACACACAGTGGGAGAGGCAGGCAGCTGCCTGGAGGCCAGCACAGAAGGTCCTGGTAGAAGCCAGAGCCTGGGGTAGGTGAGACCCCAGGTGAGATATGTGGCACCCCTACGTGGTAGCCTGGCCGATGTGGCTTGCTCATGCCACATGGCTCAGTGAGCAGCAGAGAGCTGCACAGACTTGTGACAGTAATGCTGGAAATGAAACAATATGGTTTAAAGAGACTTCTTTGAAATACAAGTTACTGCACTCAGTCTGAGCAATACAGGCTAAAAATCAATGCAGCGCTCAGCCTGTTTGGCCTCATCTAAGAAGCTACAACTGACCTCCGTGTTCACAGACTCAGCCAAGAGCTTAAAATCTGTATGGCTCACAAAAACATAGAGTAGCCGTGGCTTGGGCCAGTTCCACGAAGAGCTGTGCTGGCACGGCACAGGGAGGGAGGATGAGGGAGCCTGAGCTGCTGCTGCCTCTTTGCTTGTTTTCAGAATAGAGAGAGACCTAGTCTTTGGAGATGCTAATTTATCCCTTTTCACAGTCAGTGAGTGCTTATAGCAATGAAAGGAAAACAAACAGTCAAACATCTTCAAGGTCTAGTGCATAAATGTACCAACGCAGCTGCAGTCTGCATCGCAGTGGCTGCACTCCACAGAGGGGGATGGGTTATGGTTTGTGGTGCAGACAGGCTGGGCTCATGGAGGTGGCCTGAACCCTCTCCAGCGCCTTTTCGCATTTCGAGTGCACCAATAAAATGATCATGAAGGTGGGATGATTTCTGACCATGGGCATTGCTGGGTCAGGGGCATCATATCACCAGACTGCAGCCGTGCCCACGATGGCTGTTCAGAGCTCCCACTACAACCTTCTCCCCCTCCTTCTCCCAAGCCCATGAGCATCAATAGCAACAGAGCAGGTGGGAGGCTTGACTGTGCATGCACATTTTTAGCAATAAAACTACATGCACTTTCCAAGCTAGGCTGGAGAGTCAGCAGCAGCTCAAGTCTCTGCTCACGTCTCCCAGTGAACGTGGGCTCGGGCAGCAGCAGAGCAATGGCCAAAGCAGACCAGGGGTGGGGACCCACAGAGGAGAGGTTTAAGTACAGATTTAAGAGCCAAATGTGTAAGGTGGCATATTGGGAAATTCAGTAGGGGCAGGCATAGGCTGTACTTTGTTCACAGCAAAGGGCCCATCTCAAATCTTCACCTTTTCTGCAAAAAGTTATTGCCAGTGCACACAGTGTGAACGGCAGCGTCTCAAGGGGAGCGTGGCACAGTGACAGCAACGGAGCAGGACTGCCTGGCAAGGCCATGAAACTGCAGTGCAGCCCCTGACAGAACTGCCCTGCCACGCAGGAAGAGGAGGAAAGTGCCACACACATCTGCTCCATCAGCACATCAAAAGCATCGGGTGTGATTAGGAGCGCTAAGGATGTGGTTGTGCCCCTGAAGAGTCAGCGCCACTGGGGGATCACAGGGTTTGGCAGGACAAGATGAGAAGTGACAGCTGAAACCGGTTACAAAGACGTTACTGGCATTTGGGAAGAAGCTCGGATAATGCAGGTCACTGGCATCCTCTGTTTGGCTAACAGCGTAACATTTTTCAGACAGTGGCAACTCCATTTCTTCTCACGTGGCATTAATAGTTCCCCAGTTTAAAGTTCAAATAAAGTCTTGCCTTCTGCTTCTGATGTGCCTCCTTGTAAAATCTAAGGGGAGAAAATAGGAATCAACACCTACTGCTCTTTCTTAGACAGGTTATTCCATCTTGGAGGTTGTTAAGGGGGATGCTATCCCATAGGATTCAATGATCAACAACTGGAATAAAACTGGGACATGAACCACACTATAACTGTAGAATAATGAATAATTCTGTTCTTCCAAACCCATGAAACACAAAGAGAGAGTTTTTTAGCATATGAAAGACTCCAGGAAAATGTATGCAGCCAGGCCGTTAACATTTGCAATGTTCCCAGCTCAGAACTATTCCTGGGACTTGACTGAACAAGCTGACATCAGAAGAAGAATGAGGAAGCAAGACTAGGATACAGCAGGAGCTCTAAAACTGCCTTGGAAGAGACCCAGAGCAAAGTAACTGGTTTTCAGGATCTGGGAGTGCAAAAGTAAGCTCAGAGACCCCAAAGGCATCACAAAAAGCAGACACAGATGCTGATCTTTTCTGTTTCACTTGTGGAGGAGAGATCGTATCCTCATCATAGTATTTCATGCTTTCCCATCAGTACGGCTCTATTGGCCATGAATGAAGAAGACGAAAAGGATAGAAACCTAACTGTAATAACCTCAGTTACCATCATTTTTCTGTTTTTCCCTACATCCTCTTTCTTCTGGTTCCCTAACGCTCGCTCTTTCTGGGTCATCTTCCCAGCCATAGGGCACACAGGGTATTTTATCTGCAGCTGGCTGGTAGGATGATCTATGTAATCCCCGTTGCCCCAGCTGTTTTCAGGACTGTTTTCCACCATATCATCTCATTCTCCAGTGAGCTAATCCTCATAGCGTGTATCACCTCCCTTTTGGATAAGTTCCTCTTTAGACATTTATCAAGAAACTGCACTTGAGGAAATCCTCTTGTGTAGAGACAGATAGGCAGAAAGATGCATGTGTGAGATGTAAAATTCACATATAGTGCTTAGGAAAATCCCCCTATAACAGCCCCACCTGCCTTGATAGCCCCTATGGGCTCTCCCCCGCTGCACATCTTTCATCCTAAGCCTTTTTTGTTTCCAGCCCTTTAAATCTGGTCAAGCCAAGCTGCTGAGCCCTGGAGAAAGCCTTTTCAGAGCTGCTTGTTAGCAGTGTTGCTGGTTAGTCCTCTGTGCTTATTGTATCTTACCCCTGAGACCAATTTAATACCTTAAAATGATGCCTGTAGCAAAAAAAAAAATCTGTCTCTGAAAGGTCCTCAACCTCTGCCAGAATCTAGCTGCACGAGCTAGGTCAAACTCTGCAGCAGGGCTAAAAATCCAAATTTATCGCAATTTAAGGACTGGAGGATAGAAGCTTTAAAGAAACTGGAGATACGATGTCACACTACACACCGTGTGAAAAAGAAAGTCTCTATGACACAGATTACTTAAGGGCAGTAATAAGAATGAGCAAATCAGGACAAGGGATTTTCATAAGGACTGAACAGAAGGGGAGGTAAACAGGCATTACTCTGCAAAGGTGAAGAAATGGGAGGAACTTGTGAGATTTCACAAGGACATGTTAAATTTTTGCACTGAGGTTAATTCAGGTTTATCCAGAAAACAGGTTTAAATCCAGAAAACCTAATATCCAAACTTTTATTTGTAGCAATTAAAGCTTGGAGAACAGAGTCCCTACTAAGGA